ACCAAAATTGGATAGTTTTGTAATAAAAACAGTGTACAGGGATTACATGTTAGCATTAATTTTGTATACTAATTTAAATACTGACAAAGAGATGTCGCCAACACCATAAAAAATCTGAACATATTTTGAAAGGAAGCCAGAATACAAAGTTGTGAAATATCAACTTTCTGAGATAGAACGCACCTTTACATGCCAGATGTAAAGATAATCTGAAGAGTACACACTTGAATGAGCTAGCATGTCTTAAAACGTTTGTCAAGCAAATTTTGTTCTTAAGAATAATATTACCGCATATCATTGTGAGTATAAATAACTGTAATTGAATCCCGTCTTACTGCATTCCGACATTCGTTGTCCATGACATATAATTACTGAGGTTACGTGCAACTATTTCTTGTGTTAATCTTGAAATACACGAGTACACTATCATGCTAATTAATATATACATGTATGTTTGTGGTGTATGTTGCTGTTTATTATTTGACTACCAAATTGACCGATTAACCAGTTATAATTACTCGATCGGTAGAAGAGTAACCGGTTACAAAAATAAGACCGGTATGACAACCCTAGTATTATGGCATTGCGATCATTTATTGATGCATCACTTGCGACTACTGGGTTAGTTTCGGCACCTTATGGTGTAACGGTTCTTGTTACGAGTAGATATTGTTATACTTTATAATAAAAAAGGAAATGTATGTACACTTCCAGAGCAATGATTTCACATCTGCTTTAGTAAGTTGTGTAAAAATTTGTTTCCTTTGTTCCTTTGGCCAAAGAAAGGTATATTATATCATTAGTTATAATTGTGAAACAAAAAACAAAGGCTTACAATCACTTTTATACATTAAGCAAGCAGATAATCATCTCAATGTGCACATAAATGAATATATAAAGGGTGGTATTTACATGACATCTTTGCAAAGAGCCTAAAATACAGACTTGAAGAGGTGAGTTTTGATGTCTTTCTTGAATTTGGCCAGGGTATTTGACTTTCTAATAGCAGATGGTAAGCTATTCCACAACGTTGCGAAACCCTCCCAAAGCACCGGTTTCCATAGGTCACAGTACGAGATTTTGGGACACACAACAATGATTCTGACTTCGACCACAGTGATCGTGACGGCTGATACAGGGTAACAAGGAAGCTCCTGTAGGTACTGGGGAGTTGTTCCATTCAGTGCCTTGTATGTGTACACCAAAATTTTGTACTGCAACCTGTATCATTCCGGTAACCAGTGCAATGAATACAGCACAGGTGTGATGTACTCTCTCTTTCGAGTACGAGTAACCAGCCGTGCTGCAGTGTTCTGGACCCTCTGCAGATGACTAGTTGGTTTGTCAGATATACCACAGAGCAGGGCGTTACCATAATCCATTTGAGAGGTAACAAGTGAATGCACCAAAATATTGCATGCATCTGCAGTTATAAACTGCCGGATACAGCTGATGTTCCTGATCTGGTAGTAACAGGATTTGGCAATAGCGTTCACTTGTTTCTCCATGTTAAGTAAACTATCAAAGTATACCCCTAGGTATCTTACAGCTGGGACAGTCTCAATATGGCACCGACCTTGAGCTGGAGTGCCATTGTTTGCTGACACTTTGGGGAAAAGACGATTAGTCCTGTCTTTTCTTGATTAGGCTTTAGCATGTTGGCGTTCATCCAGGTACTGATATCTGTCAGACAAGCTTTCAGATTTTCTGTAATTGTATCCCAACTGTCCTGTGGTTTGATGACCATGTAAATTCGCTATAGCATAGCTATGACAGTCTCAATAGTTCTGGCACCGACCTTGAGCTGGAGAGCCATTGTTTGCTGACACTTTGTTGAAAAGACAATTTCCAGTGTCACAGTACGAGAGGCAATATTTTCGTGGTCCTAACATCGACCCTTGAAGAACCCCGAAATCTAGTACTTTGTCATGTGAGGTGGTAGATTCGATGACAACACACTGTCGTCGTTCAATCAGATAAGACTATCCAGCATAGTGCGGTAACAGTCACTCCATAAGAGTATTCCAGACATTTATAAAGTATGCCATGGTCGATGACGTCTAATGCAGCTGACAAATCTAGCATGACAAGCACTGCTCTGCACTTGTTATCCAATGCAGAAGCTATGTCGTTATGTACACATAGGAGGGCCGTCTCAGTTGTGTCTCATGCGGTAGGCCAATTGCAGGTTGTCATGGAGATGTTTGCATGGAGATTCTCTTAACGTTGGGACACAACCTTCTCCAAGATTTTAGACAGAAAAGGCAAATTTGATACTGGGTGGTAGTTCTTCAACTCCTCCTTGTCCATTCCAGGCTTCTTCAACAATGGTCTAACATGTGCCTTCTTGAAACACAATGGAACCTTTGACTCAGCCATTGATTTAATTGTTCATGTTTGAGGTAATCAAGGGAAGCAGTGCTTCAAGACATTGATTTAATAGGTCTGTAGGCAGTGGATCAAGCTCATGGGACTTAGATTGCGAGGTCATGATGATATTGCGCAACTCGTCCTGGGTTGTTGGTGAGAGCTTTGTCAATGGTTCCCCATCAAATTTAATGTCAGCAGTCATGACAGAGATATCATTGTCAGCAGTAGAGTTCACTTCCGATATATTTTTCCTGATCGAGCTGATTTTATTCAGAAAGTAATCACTGAACTTGTTTGACAAGTCTTTTTCAGAATTACAGCTTGGTAGGATAATTTCACCTTTCTGACCCATTACGTTTTTGGTGAGTATAAAAAGCTGTCTATGGTCCTTACCACATTCTTCAATTCTTTCGAAATAATAAGCCTTCTGTGACTGAATGAGAAGTGAACCAACTAGCCGACATTGCAGTTCCCTATAAATCTGTTGGTGAACAGTTAATTTTGTCCTTTGCCACTGTCTCTCTGCTTTTCTACGATTCTGTTTTTCTGCGCGGAGATTTTCATTATACCACGGGGCATTCGAGCACCGAGCAACAGTTTAAGGACACTGAATTCAGAGGAATAACTGACTTACAGTGACCAGCTGTTGTTGGCTTGATGACATGTAGATTCTCGTACGATACTGATGATGTCAGAATCTGTGTTGAAGTATCGTAACGAATCAATTTAGGTGAACTGGATTGCGTTTGAATGTGTTTAAGAAAGTACGGCATGTGCATCGTATGAATCGGGAACAGTATTTTTTTTCATAGTCTAATTGAATCTGTGAAGAATTTACAGACTTCTGTAGCGTATTTCAAAAGTAAATGAATAAATTGTAGATTTATAAACTTACGTGCGATAAGCAATTGGCGGCCTAGTTTCCAGATAAATCAGTTACAGTCATTAATAAATCATTTTTAGCTCACCTGCCCGAAGGGCAAGTGAGCTTATGTCATGGTGCGGCGTCCGTCGTCCGTCTGTCCTCGTCCGTCAACTTTTCTTTAAACAACTTCTTCTGAAGAACGGACAGGCCTAGAGTCATGATATTTAGCTGAAAGCTTTGTTTATAGGAGCCCGACAAAGTTTGAGAACTAAAATGACATTGACCTACTTTCAGGGTCACAGGGGTCAAATATGTCAAAAACTTCAAACGACTTCTTCTGAATAATTAAAAGGCATAGAATCTTCATATTTGGCTGATGGCCTCCTGGGATGGAGCCCAACAAAGTTTGAGAATGAAAATGACCTTGACCGACTTTCAAGGTCACAGGGGTCAAATGTGTCAAACACTTCAAACGACTTCTTCTGAAGATCTGAAAGGTATAGAATCTTTATATTTGGCTGATGGCTTCCTGGGATAGAGCCCAACAAAGTTTGAGAATGAAAATTAGTTTGACCTACTTTCAAGGTCACAGGGGTCAAATATGTCAAATGCTGCAAACGACTTCTTCTGAAGAACTGAAAGGTATAGAATCTTTATATTTGGCTGGTGGCTTCCTGGGATAGAGCCCGACAAAGTTTAAAAACGAAAATGACCTTGACCTACTTTCAAGGTCACAGGAGTCTGATATGTCTAATGCTTAAAACGACTTCTTCTGAAGAACTGAAAGTTATAGAACCTAAATATTTGGCTTGTAGCTTCCTGGGAAAGAGCCCAACAAAGTTTGAGAATGAAAATGAGCTTGACCTACTTTCAAGGTCACAGGAGTCAGATATGTCTAACGCTTAGAACAACTTCTTCTGAAGAACTGGAAGGTATAGAACCTTAATATTTGGCTGGTTATTTCCTGGGAAAGAGCCAAACAAAGTTCGCGAAAGAAAATGACCTTGACTTACTTTCAAGGTCACAGTGTTCAAATATGTCAAACGGTTCAAACTACTTCTTCTGAAGAATTAAAAGGCATACAATTATAATATTTGGCTGGTGACTTCCTGGGATAGAGCTCACCAAAGTTTGCGAATCAAAAAGACCTCAACCTACGTTTTGGAATAGAGCTAACCAATTTGAGAAGGAAAATGACATTGACCTACTTACAAGGTCACAGGAAAAAATATGTCAAGCAACTTCTGAAGAAGAATAAAAAAGCATAGAATCTTATTTTGGTGGTAGTTTCAACAGATGTTGCCAACAAAGTTTGCGAGGGAAATATTTTTAGTGCAATATAATATTTAATGGGATATTTTGCTATGACTGCTTAAATATTCAGGTGAGCGATACAGGTCCTCTTGGGCCTATTGTTATATTATAGCGCTAACGGGCCACCGTAAATGTCTACCGGTTTGTCGCCTCACTGAAGCTTTGTGAACAAAATACATATGGTATGATTAAAAAATAAGGTTCACTTTATCATAACAAAGAGTATCGGACTTGTTTGCATCTCATTTGCAGCTAAAGCATTCCAGTGCATAAATAATTTAAAACATATTCACTTGATTTTAGAAAGCTGGTGACCTTCAACAAGGTGACAGACAGTACGACAGGTATTACATAATATGATGTAAAATGTGTTTAACTTTCCGCAACACTTATCACAGTCTCAGTAATTTTTTAACACTGGTCTGTTTATGTCTCTTCTCGGATCCTGTTGTGGTCTTTTTATTTAGTTTCAAGTTACTTTATTTTGTTGTATATCAAATATTTTTACTCACCTGCCTCGAAGTGTCTGTAATGCTATGCAGTGGTATCATACGTCAGTAGTCTTTCTACCACCTGTGCCAAGCAGTCTTAATATTTGACCAGCAGATACCTTGAACGGTTGCGGAACACTTGACTTAATTACTTTTAAGGTAACTGTGATCTTACATGTTAAAGGTTTCAAACAACATTATATAACAAAAACACTTGTATATGCTATAAAGACCAAAAATGCATTTATTTATATGGACAAAACCTTGAAAATTTAGTCCAATAGTCATAGCATGGAAACAAGTCGTTATAAAATGTAATTTTTATATGTTTTAGGGGTTTAGATCGACTTGCGTTAAAAAGCAATAAATTATATAATAGTATATGAATAAATAGATTGAGAGATAAATCATTATAAATATTAGCACAGACTTAGATCCGTGATAGTAGGCGTGTTGTACCTTGAACTACTACTCAATTGAGAGTTGGGGCGAGAAATTGTGCTGGATGAGAAAATGTGTCACCTATGCCCATATGTTTTGCACAATTTCTCACCTGAGTAAGAAATCGTGCTAGGGTGAGAAATCGTGATGCGACCGCAGCACTTTTAGCATTATGTCTCACCTGGTAGAGAAATTGTTTCTGGGTGAGAAATCGTGCCGTAACAAAGGCTAAAAAACTTGACTGTTACAGACTTTTTATTTAAATAAATTCATCAAAACTAATATTGGACAAAGTCAAAAGTACTACAAATTTACAAACAAATGAAAGATCTGACATTGTTTCTGCTGGGTTGTTTTTGTACCAATGTTTCTTTATTGGAAGATTACTGATAACATCACTGTTAACAACTTAACATGGTAGTGTATCACTCATCATTGGATCACATTCATTTCACAGAAACTTGACAGTATTGTTGAAGATTTACCAATCAGTCATGGACAGAGGTGATTCCAGAGACTTGGATGCACTATTGAAAGGAGCCCATACTCCCTCTTGTGGACAATTTAGTGTGCCTGCATGTGACCATCCAACACGTTGTGCTGACATAGAAAAATTAAAGAGAGGACAGTTATTTTTCCTGAATAACATATCCAGCTGTGTATTTGCAATGTTATGTTCCCTGGCATGTGGATTGAGTATTTCCAATCTGCTGGATCCATTGGTATTTACAAAAGTATCAGATACACCCAAGAAATCTCTTGATCGCTATATACACACCTTAATACATGTCATAAGATGGCACCTGAGTGACTTTTTGGAAAAAGATTCTCCCGGGAGAAAATCTCTTGATCAGGTTAGAAATATGCATAATGCTGTGGCGGAGGCCATGACAAAACAACAACCTGATGAGAAGGTGGTCTTCTCTCAGTATGACATGTCATTGGTACAAAGTGGTTTTGTAGGAGCTATTGTGTTACACCCACAAAGTTTTGCTATTCATCACGCTGTCAAAGATTTAGATGATTATGTTTATCTCTGGAGATTCATTGGAAGTCAACTTGGGATAACTGACCAGAACAACATCTGCTTCCATGGCTACCATCCAACATTTACTATTTGCAAGCAAATTGAGGATAGAGTTTTAATACCGGCTTTAAGAAATCCTCCAAAGGATTTTGATTTGATGGCCAAGGCTTTCACAGATGGTTTAAATAGACTACACTTAGTGAGTGTTTATACCCCAGAAGCAGTGATAAACTTTGTGTTTGACATCATTGGTCAGGACAGAAAAAGACAGTCCATCCCAAATGAGCTCAGGATTATGACTTACAAGCTCATGATGAAATTAAAATTGTATGTTCCAGGATTTCAATTTGTGATGAATAAACTAGTTATGCTCTTTTACAGTTGTGTCGACAAAAAAGGGAGTACGTGCTCGTGATACTATTGTTTACTCTTCTAAAAGTTGCATATTTATTTCATTAGGGTGTAACATGAAATGACCAAATCAATATAGTGCTGACAGTGTTGTTGTGATAGAGGTTCAAATTTGGATAGATATTTTGTTTTCTTACTTTAAAACTGTCGTGTAATACATTTCTACAGATAATAAACAGGTTAAAATGAAAGCCATTCCTCTATTCTACACTACAAATATGGTCCGACAATCACACATCCGGGACACTACACATCACTTATTTTAGAAAAATAACGTTTGAAAAAGAAAAGGAAAAAGAAAAAAGAAACTGGTTTGTTATGGACGGCCGTTTTAGGATAAAATACATAAACTACTTAAGTGCAAAAACTTTTGCACAAAAACTTTTGCACTTAAGTGCAAAAGATTAACACTTAAGTGAAAAAAACTGGACATTAAATGGCAAAAAATCACATAATGGCAAAAACTTTTTCACTTAAGTGCAAATCTTTTGCACTTAAGTACTAAGTGCAAATCTTTTGCACTTAAGTACTAAAAGTACTTAACGCAAAAATACGTCTTTTGTCATTATGTAGTAATCTGTTTACATTATGTACCTTCGCACCTAAGTACAAAAGATTTCCTCTTATCCCTCTTGTCACAATGGATGGTTCCGTTTACCGATGTATTGCGCATGCCCCAGAGGTCAAAATGGCGGCGGAGGTTGAGGTGATTCCGGTAGGCTTATTAGAATTTATCGCGAATGTTAGTTACTGCGACTATCATTGGAATTGTCATGTAGAAAAATTTGGACAGACGTTAAAAGGCAAACATGTTGCGTGGATTCACGACAGAAATGCAATGGTTGGCAGCGTATTAATTGGCAAACTACACAGACTCGCAACGGCCAGCGTAACCTGAATCCTGCGTCATACCACGGACTTAGATACGAAGGTAAATGATATGTCACTTTAGCGGTGTAACAATATTGGTTACTAAAATCATGACAACTTGTGTCGAAATGACGATAAGACGTAAACCCATAGGCCTACCACAGACCTTAAACGATAAATGAATGAGAGGTTAGCCTAATAAATAAAGTTTAGAGTCCTAGAGTAACAAAAAAGTAATAACCATCCTAAATAACTAACATTAAACTACTAAGCTTAGTTATTTAATTTCATATATAGAGAGAGGGAGTGATATTAAGTTTCATTTATATGAAATTTAAATATCTAAATCTCTATTTTGATTACAAAATCACCAAATAAAGGTGTTCTTTTTAAAACATTATTTAAAAAAAA